GAAGGAGTCATCCTCTCCCTGGTGGTAGGTCCTTGGCCAAGCTCCCAGTCTCTGCAAGAGCAGCAGGGAGAAGCTCAGGAAATTCCGGCCACGCCCTCCGCCCTCCGTGAAGGTATAAAGCCTGAAGGAAGTCTGCACTTGGCTGCCGGCACCTCCCTGAGCTCACCATGAAGCCCCAGGGCCTCTTCCCTCTGGCAGTGCTTCTGGCTCTGTCAGCTCTGCTTCCTTGGACCGTGGAAGGTGCTGAAAAGAGTGAGTTGGCATCACCACGTGGGGGCTCTTGGTGGCATGGGGGTGCCCTTCTCCAGGTTTCAGATCTCGCTAAAGGCCGGATTCCTGTCCACCTGGGCACCCAGGTCTCTGAGCAGCAGGAAGGAAAGGCTTCTTTAACCTCATGCTCTTTCCTCTCTCCCCACCCCTCCTTTTCTTGCTTTCTCCCCCCCTCTTCCCCTCTCTTTCTCTCTGTTCCAGGGCTTCCCGTCTTACTGTGCCCATGTCTCTATAGCCACCAGCCTTTGACACTTTGTGGTTTTCCACTCTTTCTTCTGAATCCTTTTGCCTCTTAAAAAAAAAAAATCGAATCTTTCCCCCACTTCTACCTCTGCCTTTCAACCTCTATTTTGTGCACCTTGATTGTGGCTTGCTTTTGCCTCCATCGACCCTAGCCTTCCTCTACCTCTGGGGATCCTTGCCTTTCCCTGGGGCAGGAGCCTGGGCTGGGGACCCCCTGCCTGTTCTCCTGGCCCCATGACTTGACTGCACCTGGACGTGTCGGTCATACTTCAAGGCAGCCAGACAGGCGGTTCCCTTTGGACTTTGTGGACAGAGCAGCCTCAGACTTCTCCCAGTTCTCACCTGACTTCTTGGCCTTCTTTTGCAGTGCCTGAGAAAGCTGGGCGCTGCCCTCCTAAGCCACAGGTCATGTGCCTTAGATATGAGGCTCCTCAGTGCCAGAGTGATTGGCAGTGTCCACAGAAGCAGAAATGTTGCCCCGGTGCCTGTGGCATCAAATGCCTGAATCCTGTGGACCTCTTTGCATCAGGTGAGGAGGTGGGTGAGCTGGGTGAGAGGAGAGATCTTGAGGACATTGCATCTAGGAGTCAGGGACTGGGTGATGGGGTCCTGCCAGACCGCCGGCTTTCTAGGAGCGTTTAAGCCAAGGGTGCCAGCCAGCCAGCCAGGGGGTCACACTGCCTAGGTGGAGATTCTTCACCTAGCCTGTAAGCCAGGTAGCCAGTGGGAGGTCAGTCTGTCCATCGGTTCTCTGTTGAGTCATGTGGGCAGGCCATTGGCATGCATTCGTTCCAGCACTAGGAGCTGCAGTCCTGTACTGATGCCGGCCGAGGAGGGCTTGATGTCAGAGGGAAGTCAGATTCCTCCTGCAGGGGACACACAGGCCTTAGGAAGGAGGTGGGAGAGGTGGGAGTGGGGAGGGTGATTCTCTGGGTTCAGGGTTGGGCAGGGGCAGGGGCAGGGGGCGATGTTGAGGGGAGAAGGTCTCTGACTTTCAGCCCTGCTCTCTCCAGGTAAGAAGCCTGGAAAGTGTCCGGTGGTCAACGGCCAATGCATGATGCTCAATCCGCCCGATTACTGCCAGAAGGACGGCCAGTGCACGGGAAACTTAAAGTGCTGTAAGGGCATGTGCGGGAAAGTCTGCATAAGCCCTGTGAAGGGTAAGCCGGGGCAGCTCACCCACTCTCCTCCCAGGACCCCGCAGCCTCAACCTTCTGGAAGTCCCCGCAGCCCGGCAGGGAGAGGCAGAGCCGCACCTGCAGCAGAGCCTCTGCCTGAGCCCTGTCCTTAGCAGTTCCAGTGCATCATTCCTCTGAGGGAGGGCCTTGGGCTTGTGCCGCTGAGTCTCAGTGCGCTGATCCAGAAAATGGACATAAGGAAAGGGCTTCCTAAAGTGCTGGGTCCGTGAAGTGTTCATTGTGAAGCTTATTTCCCACATGCCCCAGCTTAAAGCTCAAGGGCGTCTAGCTCAAAGCCCTGACTTGATAGCTGGGAAATCCTGGGGCACCAGTCAGGGAAGCTGAGACTTGGCTGCAGCACTTGAAGTATGGACCTCAGTTGATAATAATGCTGGCCCGTCACTTAGAACAAATGTGCCGCAGGAAAGTATGAGGTTGGCAATAAGAGAAAAGTGTGTGCAGAGGGAACGCTGTACTTTCTGCAAGGACCCTGGGTGTTTGCGCAAATGGGCAGTTCAAACCCATCCAGTGGGGCCGGGCAGGCAGGCCTGGCAGCCTGCTTCTGTAAAGATTACAAGGAGGAGCACCTGGTGGGGGCAGCTCCAGTCTCCCCGGAACAGACCAGCCCCTTTCCAACCCCTCTTGGCTTTTTGAATTTTGGGATGGGCTCCACAGCCATTGAGTTTAGGTTTTGGTTTGTCTATAAACCTGAAACTTCCCTTACTAAAAAAAAAAAAAAGAAGAAGAAGAAAAAGAAGCTATTAGCAATTGAAATAAAATCTGAGCAGTCCTACCCCTTAAAAAACAAACAGAAAACAAACCCACAGTGAGATGGAAACACATGGGATTTGAACTCAGCCCCCTGACACCATGACTCTTTCAACGATACCACACATTGCTATTTTCTGTCTCTCGGGTTCCTTCCAAACTTCAACTTACAGCCACCGAGTCAATTCTGACTCATATGGGATGGGGTAGAACTGCCCCTGTGGGTTTCCAAGACTGTAACTCTATGGGAGTACAAAGCCTCGTCTTGCTCCTGGGGGGTGGCTGGTGGTTTTGAACTACTGAACTTGCAGTTAGCATCCCAATGCCTAAAGGCTCCTAGGGTTCCTTTAAGGAGGTGGGATGTGGAGAGGACCTGGCTGGTTCTTCAACGGAAACTGTCGGGATTTTCTCTCACAGGGTGAGGCCTGCAGTGCAGTCCCCTTTCTGCCCACTTTGAGGCTCACTGGAGCACTTCCGGTGAAGAGCAGGAGCACTTCCGGTGAAGAGCCGGTTTTCGAACCTTCTTGGGGGAACTTCCGGGAAATGCCTGCTCATCGTTGAATAAATAAACGAGTATGTTTTCTTCTGCACACACATCCTGTGTTGGTGGTTCCTTGGGGGCCAGAGCAGGGTGGAAGGTGACGAGGGAATGCGTGGATGTGAGGCCTCCCTCCTGCAGCTCTGAGGTGCTAGTTGAGAGGCCCACGGGCTGGACAAACATTCACGTGCACCACGGAGCTGAAAGTACTGGCTCTGAGTTTGGCCAGGGAAGCTCATCTCCCTGGAGAAAACCCACTTGCTCACGTGGTTCTGAGCACCCATGGCCAGGCAGCAGGTGAGGGCTGATGAGCCGTGATGGGGCCACAGCGAATTCTCTGAGGTGAATTGAGTTTCTTTATCTCCCAAGACACTACTGTCATCCAACTTTGAATAAGAAGACAGCCATCTGGGTATGACAATTGGTCTTCATCCTCCTGGGGCAATGGGGGGTGGGGGAGGGGGAGGAGAGGTCCTTCCGAATAAAACAGCAAACCCAAACTCACTGACTCATAATGACCCCAGGGGGCAGAATAGAACGGCCCCTGTGCGTGCGTTTCTCACCCTGTGAATCTGTGAAGTCTCCCCTTTCTTCTGGAGCCCTGGTGGCTTCCGGCCCTGACCTGGTGGTTGGCAGCCCAACTTGTAGGCACAGCATCCCCAGGAGGACACGAGGATGGCTGATTGCCTCCACGAATCGCTCTCTCTTTTGCCTTGAGACTGGAAAGCGCTGAATGGTGCCTGATGGCCATGACCGAACATTTTGATCGAAAAGCCTGTAGAAGAATCCCGATCCGAAGGGGGTCGGGGTGGGATGCAGAATTAAAAGTTCTTACGGAATCCAAACTTTATGGAGCCATAGAGGCTGGGTAAATGCCTCCCCCGCCCCCCAAACAATTGCCCTGAGATCATCTTTCAACCTCAAAAATATCCCTCAACGTCTTCTTAGCACCAAACAATAGCTTTGCTAACTACCCACAATGTCTGCTTTGAGCACTGTGTTCTTTCAACGAGCTGCCTGGGATCAAAGTGACTTGAAATATGAGATAGAGGACTTGGGGCTGGTGCGTTTAAGTTAATGGGGGGCAGCAGCTTAGCAAAGGATGCTGAGAACGGTGGCCCAACTCGAAACCTGCGGCCCATGTTACGGAATTGTCCATGCAGCAATGGTTGGATTGGTGTATATTCTGAACAGCAATAAAATGAAATAAATGGTGTTAGTCTGGGTTGACTAGAGGACTGTGGGGAACAGAAGGATTTCTCTTAAGCTGTCTCCCCAATAATATGGACCAGACTTAGCTGCTTGAGAATGACTGTACACTAGGCGGTCAGCGAAAGTAGGTCAGAGGTTAGTCTCCTTAACATCAGCCATCTAGAGCAACCAGACTGTATAGTCTGACTCACCCTAAGCAGGGCCCAGTCCCTTCTGACACTGTTCCCTTGAAGCAGTGCCCAAAGGCAAGCCCAGCACCACTCTAAGATGAGTAGGTCATCCCCCTCCTATTGCTTGTATTGCCTATGTTGCTATCCCTCCCTAAGACGTAGGTTGTTATCTGCTATGGGGGGGTGGGGGCTTGCATGCCTCCCGGGATAGTAATTGTCTGTTTTATTGTATGAGACACCAGAGTGATCAAACCTGTTCAAGGATGAATTGTACTGCCCCTCTCTGTGACACATGATTAGCCTAAAGTGATATGAGGCGTGGTTAGCAATAAATAAGGAGGCTCCCTGGTTCTCGAGAGGGGCGGCTGAGGAAGGCTGCTCCCATGAGGGAGGTGGATGAGGGCGGCTGCTCCCGCGAGGGAGGCAGCCGAGCCGCTTCTGCTCTGGCGGCCGGGTTCCCCCCAAGAGGACCACTAAGAGGGGCAGAGGTGAGCAATTCTACCATGTAATATGTCTGACTGTATTGTATTATCTCTCATGCTCTCGATGACCTTAATATAATACTTATATATCTCAACCGTATAATTGTGCATTACTGAACCCGTGGGTAGTATTAGTAGCAGTGGGTGGGAGCTGGCATCTCACCTCCTCCGCGCCATTTTAATTTAATACTACAGAGGACCAACTCTAGAGACACTCATATGTGTGTAAGAGAGAGTTTTATATCAGCGAGCAATTGTATATTGAGAACACATCCTAGCCCAGTCCAGATCAAGTCCATAAGTCCAATATTAGCCCATATGTCCTAAACTAGTCTATAAGTTCCTCTTTAGATGCACACAGCACATGCAATGATGCTGAATGCAGGAAGATCACAGGCCAATAGGTGGAAAGTCCTGTGTATCCAATGGTGGTGGGCCCATCTCTAGGGCTCCAGCTGCCATCAGGGTGGCTCCATGTGTCTTGTCAACAGGAAGGTGAAGCAGACAGAGAGAGAGAGAAAGAATCAGAAGGCCATGCCCACAAAGAGGCACCAGACTGTGACCTGATTGACAGCTAGGCCAGACCCCTTTACTCTTACCATCCTCAAGTGGACACAAAATTATGTAACTACCACAGTGATCAAAATGGAAAAGAATCCTGCCACGGTGGGTCACATCCAAGACATGTTGTTGGCTCAAACCACAGCAAATGGTGTCATTTTTGACTCCTGGGAGCAGAAGGAATAACAAGAATGTAGCTATCAGAGCCAGCAGGCAGGTGGGGAGCTCTCTCCACAGCACTCTGAGGGCTTTGGACTCTAGAGGAAACAGAAAACTTCATTAGATAATGATTTTTTTTTAAAAAAAGAGAGAGAAAAACAAAATTTGAAATTCAAATTCAGCCCTTTCATGGAAAAGTCACTGACTGGTCTAAAAAAGTCCTTACTTGCTCAACCAATCTTTCATTTTCTTTTTGTAGCTTCACAAAGCGTTATTTATTGTCTCCCAGTGCAAGTCGTTGGAAGCAGAAATGTATCAACCAATCTTTCTAGAGCAGCAGTTGGATGTGTGAAGCGACCATTTCCGAGAAAAAGAAGAAATAGGGAGAGCCTTTTTGCTCGTGATGTAAGTGGAGTAGCTCTCCCCCAAGTTGGCCCCCAACCATCCTCACAAGTCTTGTCATCCACACCCTTGTATAGTCTCCGCCCCCCACCCCCACCCCACATCTTTCCAGGATTGGTTTGTGTGCCCAATAGACTATTGCACAAGCGATGGTCATGTTTGCCTGAGACAAATTGATAAAGAGACTGCAGCTTCCACTTGGGGAGCCGTTGCCCTGGGGGGAAGTCTGTGGTCGCCCGCCTCATGGAGACACTCACGTGACAAGGAACGGAAGGTTCCAGCCACCAAGCTGTGAAGTGCTGAGCTCTGTGAACACACATACACGTGACCCTGGACGTGGACTTTTCGGAGTTGGCCACGTCTTGAAAGGACTGCGGTGCCAGCAGACAGTTCACGACACCCTCACGAGAGAGCCTGGCCCTGAACCACCTTGTTACAATGTTCCTGGATTCCTGACCCCCAAACTCTTGAGTTAGTATTTGTGATTTTAAGCTGGTCACTGTTGAGATAATTTGTTATACAGCAATAGTCACTAACACAACGAGGTTGGAAGAGTGTGACACTATTACCCTAGGAGAAAAGATAATTATGGACCAAGGTCCCTTTCTCTTGACATATTTGTGAGCCTCCTAAATAAAGGTTGAAACCAGAATGTACTAGGATTTTAAAAGTTTTAATATTGTTCCACCTTGATGTGTTATAAAAATTGCGAATAGGAATAAAAAGATAGGAATTAACCTAAAAAAGGCACTTACCTGAAACTTGGTACCAAACCCCACCTGGATTTAAGGCAGTTGTGAACTTCTTTTTTTTTTAAGTAGAATTTATTTATTTATTAAAAACCAGTCATTTACATCTCATTAAAGCTTGATCAAGGGTCTGCTATTATTTAAACTTAACATTGCTCTTTTTTATACATTTTTTTTGACATTTTATTAGGGGCTCATACAACTGTTATTCCAATCCATACACACATCAATTGTGTAAAGCGCATTTGTACATCGTTTCTCAAAACATTTTCTCTCCATTTAAACCCCCGACATTAGGTCCTCATGTGAACTTCTTTATCTATGGCACCAAAGAAGAATTCAGTGGTAAAATATCCAAGTAATTTAGAAACAGGCCCTCATTTCAACGGTTGGAATGCTTTTAACAAGGGTAACTTTAATTGTTTATAAATGTAAGGACAGAAATCCAAAGATGACAATTAACTAAAAACAAAGTGGGGGGAAACCTATGTGAAATTCTGTAGTAGACTTTACATAAAGCTGAATTTCCAATGATATTGTTACTCAAGTTGGAAACAGTACATGATTACCACTATTCTTCTGAACAACCTAACAAAATTAGGTTAAGGAATAAGCTAGCTGTACATGATTGGATTGGAAAGAAAGAAACAAAATTGCAAATTGCCCTTATTTCTGCAGTTTAAACAATTACAATTGTTTGCATGATTTCTGCAATTTAAACAATTTGAGACAATAAAATGGATAAAATAGGAGTCATTAAAGTTCATTTAAGTTAATATCCCTTATATGGATATAAGATCCATATATGAAATTCTATAAAATATGCATTATTCATAACATTCAGAAATAATAGAAGTAAACAAAAAACCATGAGTAAGGTCAATATAACTGTAAAGAAAATAAACAAAAATCTCAACATGATTTTCATATCCCTCCTCATCTTTCTTCCCTGCCTCCTCAACAGCCTCTCCCTCTCTTCTCCCTGTTCCTGGCTCTGGCCCCTCATAGTCATCAAAGCCTTGTCTTTTGGTGTAATAACCACATTTCTTTTTTCTTTTTCCTATCATAATGGTGTTTTCAAATATTTATCTTGTAAGATGGACTAAGTTTGCCAAACATAATGTTCTCCAGTTTTGTCCATGTCTTGCTGTTCAATGGAGCTGTCCCTGTGTTTTATTGATACACACCATTCCCTTGTACAGGTGCACCACAGTTGTTTGTCCGTTCCTCTATAATCGGGGATTTTGGTTGTTTCCATGTTTTTCTATTAAGGAAATTGCTGCAATAGATACAGATGTGCCGATGCTTGCTCATGTTGTAT